ACAGTAGTGACACAAACAGAACAATGTTGCACTATTGTCATGTCACATTACATTTACAAATCTTGTAAGTCTTGTTTGTATTCAATGGAATTACTTTCTTTACTAGGTAGGCATCAGTGAAAGCATAATATTTAAATTTAATATCTGACATCTCTCTCTTACGGATACTGTAGTGCATACGAAAATAATAATTAAGCAAAAAATGATTTACAAAACATTCGGAATGAGATACAATAGTACTTAATCTGAATATAACATGACCTGTGCGTATGAATGATTTGGTAAGGTATCTGAAATGAGCACATTTTTTGTGCGGAGCTTCTCAATTGCTGCATTGCAGCAACATTTGTACATGTTTAAAATATGATCAGCTGTCCCTCCAAAAAGATATTTATCATTTATTTATTTTCATTTTTGTAAAAAGGTATTTTATTGTTTTATTTTTTCAACTTGCTTACAAGTATTGAAAATGAAGGCAACTTTTCTTTTTACCCCCCATAGATTTAATACATTTACAAGTTGTAAATAGATGCAATAGTCCAATAGAAAATAGACCAACAATCTTTTAAGAATTTATGTACAATTATGTAGAATCTAATTCAGACTGTTCAAGGTGTAATGCTTGCAGAATATATGATACATAAATTTATCATATGAAAAACACATGGAAGTTAAAATATATTTAATATATGAAAACTTATTCATATAAAAACATGTGATAACCATGAGTTAAATATATATTTGTTAACACATGTGTTTCATATGGTCCTGTTTAACATATGTTAATCTTACATATAAAAAACATATGTTCTTAAACACATCTTTTTCAAGACATTTGAAACACATATGTTTAACATATGGTGTACCAAACATACACCAAACATGTTGTGCATTTTAACCTGTTTAGAATACGTTTCCCGCGACATTTTATACGATTTTGGTTTTAAGCTGCCCGCGACATTTTATGATAAAAGGATAAAATGTCTCGCGGGTATGAAATGGCCGTAATTGCACACAATAAATATGGACTGTGATCGATTATAAAATGAACATTTCAGATTCTTTCATGTTGAAAATTTTAGTTATGAAATTATCGGAACACAAGGTTCATATATCTAGGTAAGGGTTCAATTTGAGATGCTAATAATTGAGTTTATATCCTTGAGAAAACAACAAGTTATTATATCAAGTTTCTACTTTCTTTTAAGATATTTGTTTTTAAAAGGTCAAATTCAACTCTTCTGTGAAAGTCGCAATATATTATTTTGTGAAAATTTGTCGTTCTTTATGATATGAAATATATAGATTGGTGAAGTATCTTCCCTCATTTTGCCTGTTGATTTTTTGATGTGCAGTCTTCTCAAGTTTTTTTTTGTTAGACTTAAAACATGCTGATCGGTGAAGATTACCATCTTTCAAGACACGAATAAAGGGATTAGTGAAGATTCTATCCCTGCTAACGTTATTTCCCCTGTTTCCTGTTGATTATTTAATATGCTGCCTTATCATGTTTACAAATCTTCTTCTTGTTAGATGTTTTTATATGTTTTTATATATGTTGATTGTCGAAGATTTCACCCGCCTTAAGTCTTGAAATAAACGGACTGGTGAAGTTTCGACCCCCTGTTGCCTGTTGATTATTTGTTATGCTGACTTTAAAAACGCCACCTGTAAAACATTAAAATTGATTGGTTTGCAACGGGAACATTGCCAATCAGTTTTTAAAAAATATAAGAAAAGACCAATATAAATTAATGTTTTATTGGGATAATTTGATAAAATATGTCTTGAAAAATAAATAGTTGATAAATTTCAAAGTATTAATATTTAAATGATGCATCTTAAAATTTTGTTATAGACTAGAGCAATTTATCATCTGCTATATGCCAAATATCGGATCATTTACCCCACACCCATCAATAGCATCCATATATAGTTGTTCGTGGTTTGTTGCACTAAATACTATCAGCATACTTCGTGCTTATTACAGAACAATTTACTTTAGATTTGGCAACCGAAAGGAATGATAAGAATAAATTTAAAAAAATCTTCTTCTAGAGACCCACAAGGCCTAGGGCTTAGATATTTTGCATAAGGCATTGTCTGGTAGACCTTTACCAATATTGTTCAAATTATAGCCCTTGGGTAAAATAAATAGCACATGTATAAATCTACATGAAATTAAATCGGGAGATCTTGAAAGAAAATATTTCATAAGTACTGACCTGAAATATACACAAAAGAGCTCGCTTTTTATTATCGTATTATGTTTTTATTTATTTTTTTGATTTGTATCTGCTAACATTTAATGACTTACTACAGTTATTGTTTTGATAAAGACACAAATGTTTATAATAAGACGAAGTGTCATGCGCAACAACCTGTCACCTACCTCCAAGGTCAAGGTCACACTTGGAGGTCAAAGATTAACATAGTCTGTTACAGTGTATATTTCGTTTCCGGTCCATAACTTTGTCATTTATCAAAGGAATTTAAAATAACTTGGCACAAATGTTTGTTATAATAAGACGATGTATCATGCGCAAAACCAGACCCCTACCTCCAGGGTCAAGGTCGCACTTGCTCATTCAAGGTCATTTGAGGGTATATGTAGTGTCCGGTCTATAACTTCCTTATCTTTGAAGGGATTTTGTAAATACTTGCCACAATTGTTCACAGTAATGAGATGATGTGTCATGCGCAACAATCGGTCACCTACCTCCAAGGTCAAGGTCACACTTGGAGGTCAAAGATTAACATAGTCTGATATAGTGTATATTTTGTGTCTGGTCCATAACTTTTTCATATATCAAAGGATTTTGAAAATACTTGACACAAATAGTCACTATACTAAGACGATGTGTCATGCGCAACACCTGCATCCCTACCTCCAAGGTAAAGGTCACATTTCGAGGTCAAAAATTAACATAGTCTGTTAAAGGGTATATATTGTGTCTGATCTAGAACTTCTTCATAATTCAAGGGATTTTGAAATAACATGGTACAAATAGTCACAATAATAAGACGATATGTCAAGTACAGCACCTGCACCCGTACCTCCAAGGTCAAGGTCACATTTCGAGGTCAAAAATTAACAGAGTCTGTTAAAGGGTATATATTGTGTCTGATCTAGAATTTCTTCATAATTCAAGGGATTTTGAAATAACTTGGTACAAATGGTCACAATAATAGGACAATATGCCAAGTACAACACCTGCACCCGTACCTCCAAGGTCAAGGTCAAACTTAGAGGTCGAAAGTTAACAGAGTCTGTTATGTGGTATATTTTGTGTCCCGTCCATAACGTCTTCATAGATCAAGGGATTTTGAAAAAACTTGGCACAAATAGTCACAATGATAAGATGATGTGTCATGTGTTACACCAGTGTCCCTACCTTCAAAGTCAAGGTCACATGAAGAGGTCAAAGATTAACATTGTCTGTAAGAGGGTATATTTTGTGTCCCATCTATAACGTCTTCATAGTTCAAGGGATTTTGAAAATACTTGGTACAAATAGTTACAATAATAAGACGCTATATCATGCACAACACCCTACCCCCAATGTCAAGGTCACACTAAGAGGTCAAAGCTTAACATTCATTTTATTTGTTTAATAAATTTATTGTTGCATTTGTAGATCTAGCATTGATCATTGATAATTTTGGACTGAAAGTCCTTTGATCCATACCTCAATCTTTTAAAATAGTACAATAAATAGCTTCATATAAATCTTCCCCGAAGCGGGGGACGTTGGTAACTCTGTCACAAATTCTTGTTTTAATTAAAAATAAATTACTTGAACCTGAAAATTAAAAGATAATTTTTTATTGCAAGCATTATTTCGTAGTGCCCTATTAGCTCCATAGAAAGTGCATCGGATTAAGAATTCATGGGCTGGTGGTTCAATCCTAGAGCAAGGCGATTTTTCTTCGTGACAATTCAGTACCAAAATTTCTTAAGAGGGGGGGCTTGATAGTGGGCCTTTGCGTCGTTTTGTAAATAATGGACGATATATGTGAACATGAAAAACAACAATACGTGTTATTACATATCCAATTTTTGCAAAAAGTTTATTTCATTAAGATATCTTTGGTCTCCTGCTATTGGCGGACGAAACAAATGTTTGGGGATTTTTGTAATAGTTAAATAGTATACATTGTATATAAATTAATGAGGAGAATTTGCTTAAAAAAATCTCGAAATGAGGGCATTGCAACTTATATCGGACATAGAGTAAATGAATCATGAAGGATAATTACACGGGCACTTTCACTGATAAGTTATCCGGGAAAACCTTTTAAAGTGGTCCGACCACTTAAATATGAACAAAATGTGTTAAACGGCTGGAAAAAACACCGAAACAAGCCAGGTTAAAAATCATTTCATGTATAACAAAACATTTTGCTCTTGTTAGTTTCTATGGCTAGGCGTAATTTCTCCATGACAAGTTATCTTGGACATAAGGTATAATGGTCATTGTCTGTTACCGCTGATTCATAAAACATGTGGGATATGTAGTCGATCACTTGCGGCATTACTGATAAGTTATAAGGTAAAGTCTGTTTGTATGATCTTTTGCCGAGATTTAACAAAAAAGTGTTAAAATCGGTGTTAAAAAACAACAGAAAAACAAACAAACGCAATTTTGCAACGTTCAATTTCCACATGATTCTTTTGGTTCACATCATGATACATGTATATGAAAATTGATCTGTTTTTAAGTAACGGAGTTTCAAGTGAAAGCGTCTATTTTTTAATCAAAAGACAAACATTCGACATACCGAATAAATATGACATTAATACTGATTATAAAAGGATTTCTCAGTATAAAATAGAAGTCAATTTATGACATTCTAATACTACGGGAAACTAAAACATTTTTGGGCCAAGCTGATTGGGCTGTAAGCGTGAGATGAATCAGTTACTTCTATTTATTGTATAAAATAATCAAATATATTTCATTCTTAATCTCTTTTTTTCAGAAACCAGAAACTTGATAATGTCGTATAAAGAAAGATGCATATCAGCCCTTGAAGAGCGTGCTAAACCAAGCAAAAATGATATACGATACGCACGATATGTTAACTCGGTAAATTGTTTCCTCAGTAAGTTTGGAAGAGAAAGGGTGCACCTTGTTGGTAGCACAGGCGAGCTCTCCAAACTTGCGTACCCCAAAGATGATGGTGATGCAGATTTCTTACTCGTATCTGGGAAACTGGAGATTCCTGTTGAAAACCTAGTTCAAAATGAATACGCACCGTGTTACGTGTGGATAACAGCAGATTCGTTGCATAACCATGGATGTGAGATTATTCAAGGTAAATACCTTTCAACTAAAGATTTACGCAGTGTAGGACCAGAGCTGTTTACTATACTTAGGGCGGTTTATTTACCTGTTACTGCTCAAATGGATAAACTGCCCGAAGCTGGAGAAAACTTAACAATGCTGACAGTATCTTCAAAAGTTGGATTACAAATAACGAAATATAGAGAATTTAAGTTGGACGAAGGTGTAGAAGATATCAGACAAAAATTACCTAACACAGGCGCGGAAAGAAGTAAAAGTGTTTGGTCTAAGGGTTTGAAGAATGTAGAAATTCATGACCATGAAAAGAAAATTTATAGAAGACTATATGAAATAGGGAAACTGGCTGAAAGGAAAAAAGATAATGGAGGGATAACCTTTTTTGCTCAGATAATCGGAGAGATTCTTAAGCAAGATAAAATCTTTTATCAACGACCGCACAATGATAGCAGTCATTGTTCAAACAGCAACGATGAAGACGAGAATGTCCTATATGAATTGAAAAAATTCAAAAATAATTTGGAATGTGTCGACACAGCGGCATTTAGAGCAACTTTTACGGAGACAAGTCATAAAGACTTTGTGCCTGTTCTAAAGATAAAAGGGACGCTTAGATGTATGGAGAAATGGAAAACTCGGGTAGAAAAATTAAATTGGCCCCCGGAGAGGGTTGACAGAATTTTCAATGCAAACGTTTTCGTCGCAGCAAGAATGTCACCGGTAAATCCAAATCCAGAAAAGGATTTTTGTTTGTCATTTAATTTGCCAGAGAAAGAGATGATGTTGTCAATTTCTCCAGTGCAGAAGAAAGTATTTTTGATCATGAAAGCTTTCTTAAAGGGTATAATTGAAAAGCGTCATGCTGAAATTAGAAAAGAGCTGACATTGAAAACTTATCACATAAAACATTTGATGTTTTGGGTGTATGAAGAAAAAGTGGAAGAAATGGAATCAGTTTCTTATCTTCTGAAAAAAGCTTTGGATTCTCTTACAGATGCACTTCGGAGTAAGAAACTAAGTCATTACTTTGTAGAAAGTAACAATATGTTTGTTGACTTTGAAGACACTGATTACGAAATCTTACTGACATGCGTTGATGAAGTTAAATCAAGTCCTATGAAAAGTTTAGAATTTTATATAGGTTTGAATGAAAGGAGTGCACAAGAAGTCTTGCTGACAGAAGACGAGATTTCTTGCATTTTAGAAATGTCTGCTGACGGAGGGAGAAATGAATATCTCCAAAGGACGAAAGAAGCCATGATAGACTTTCAGAGAGGTGTCAATGAAAATAGAAATGCAAATGGATGTTCTCCGCTGATAGAAGCCATAGTGGACACAGTTAAACTTTGTCTACAAGATGAAGGGAGTGATAACCTTCAAATTATTAAATTAGTGCATGCTGTTCTGACAAACGGTCAGACAGATATAGCACAAATAGATAAGAACATGGCAGACAAAAATATAGAGGATGTCGTGATGCTCATTGTTGGACTTAGTATTATGGATCATAAATTGCGGAGCTATGTGAATCATTTCGGTGGAAAGGACGGGATAAGGCATATTTTACGGGGTGCTTTTTGTGGTAAAGGTTTAGACCTTGATATTGATCTTAGGGAACAAATTGTTGACTCGCTTCGTCGATATCTTTCGTGTTCAGATATTGAAGAAGATTCATTGTTTTCAGAGTTGAAATATAAAATGTTTGGCTATGTTACTTTTAGAAAAGAGTTTTCCGACACGAAAGGATTAAGAGATGTATAAACTTTTGATATATAAAAATACTTTTATTCTACAACGTATCAAGGTCTTGGACGTTGTCAGAAAATGTTCTCTTTGGTTATAAATATTTCAATTTGTAATATACATGTCCATAATTTATCAGACACATTAGGGGTTCACCAGTTATTTCGACTTCTTTTTGTTTGTTTGTTTAATATATTGCTTTTCAAAGGAAACCGTTTTTCAGATTTTCCTTCTTCTCTAGGACTACATTTATCCTTTGTGAACTTTTTATTTCAATATTTCGACAATATCTTTATTATTTACCAATAAAAGAATTATATAATTCTCTCAAATAACTTTTCAAATTTTTCATTGTTCAAATTTCATTTTTAAACTTTCAGTTAGTTTTTTTCAATTTAAGTAATCAGTTGCATTAAAAGAACAAAAAATATATATAATATAAAACTTTGACTTTCTGGGAAAGGCTTTTTCGGATGTCGTCCAGATACATTTGCACTATACATGTAATTCTCATTTTTTGAAAATTTATTTTTGGTTTATTCATGTAACCTTATTTATGTGTGTACATATTTTTCTACATTTAATGCATGTATCAAATCCGACCGGCACAAAAATTGTATCACACCTGAGTGTACACATTGCACTACCATGTAACACTATGATATCACACCATTATATTACACTATCATACAACACTACCTAATATATTAAAAATATCTGGAAAACAGTGATCTGTCGGAAGCATTAAAAACAGCAAAATTGACTCGGGTTGATCGAGTCTGTACATGAGGGATAATGAAAAAGTGCAACATCCCTCACGCCCCTAGCAATCGCTTGAGCGATACTCAATTCTCAAGACTTAATAGTGCTGGACAAAATGATCCCGAAAGATCAGAAAAATATAACAACACTGAATTATAATACACATCATATACTCATGTCAAACCATCTTATAAATATATCATATAAAACTACCATAATTATAACAAGCTCATATAAACTACCATACAAAGCTATTTTGTCACACCATCATATAGAGAATAACACGCCACTGTCTTTTGATATCAATTTTATCAGGCTGATAAAGGCTGAAAGGGACGATCTTTTTGGGTATCCCTAAATAATCTATAAACAATAGAAATATTGACCTTTTATTTGAAAATTAACTGGCTCTGATGATATTCGGAAAAACACACAACAACATTTAGATGAGGACTGACATAACAATGAATTATGTTACTTATCAACTCTTTACAACACCTTAATAAAATGTGGTGAAAAAAAGGATTACTTTTTTAATTTTCATATCATTTATCTTCATATTTGTTTTTATTTTATATATCTATTGATTTGTTGTTCATTATTGCATAAAAATTACATACAGAAACTTATTAAGAGGACTTTAATATTGTTTACGTTGTATTAATTTATAACTTATGTTAACGGGAGACAATCAATATAACATAGAAACCATTCAGATGTTTGCTCCCTTTCGAAATACAAAAAGGCAATAACGATGTATTTCACTTTGCGCAAATAAAGACACTTTGAACTTTTGTTTTTGCTTTTTATGGACAATTTCTTCCGATTCTTGCTGTAAAGACATTATGTTCCCTATGAGAGAAAATAATTTCATCCAACAAGTTGGAGCAATATGACGTTAACATTATCATTGACTACAAGAACAATTTAAATGTAAGAGTAATTTCATTTTTAACTTTTAATACGAATAAAAATATAAAGTAGTTATTTTGTATTATTACTTCAGCTCAATAAGAGCGTTATCACTATCCATTGAATGTTTAGAGCTGAATATCCGTCACATTTAGATAAATATAGTGTGTGACAGTTACCTTGCGATTTAAAACGAGTGATGCAAAATGATAGTACCGAGTTTTCGAGTTCCGTGTGTTTATGGCTGATTTAGATCTGTTACAACTAAATTTCAAACTGCCACATAATTTTATACCGTATGTAAAATAATTTAAATCGTGTCATGACTTTGTTTAAAGCTTGGTTTGAGCATTAGGTCTATTCATTTGACAAACACTCAATTATTATTATGTGACTTATATAAACAGACAAGAATGATGATACGGAGGCAGAAATCACGCCTGTTTCAACCAAGAGAGCCTTTCTATTTCTATTTTTCTTACCTGTAGAATTGTTGCTCTCTAATGCTGACAGAAACACGAATCGTAATTAAACATGCCACTCGTATGTATTCATGTTACAAATACAAGTAAAGATAGCCAAATACACAATGAAAATTTCATTTTTAAAACTCTGTTTTCTGCCATCTACCAATTTTATTTGCTACACAAGTACTGATGCTTTACGATAAAACATGGTTGAGACATAAACTGGTCTCGGAACTACGAAGTCTTGGTAGAGAGGCAACAGCATGCTAGTAGATTACCACTTTTGTCATCACAAGATATGCAGACATGGGGAAATACGTTCCTGACATGCCTCCTTTAAAGGGTATTTTTACGAAAATGTTACTTTAAACTGAGATTTTTATAAAGTCACTGGCCTATTATAAAGCACGGTATCTTCCTCACAAATGTAAACGTCTCCGCCCTGTAAACTAAGTTAATTTGAAACTGCTGCTTATTTTACTCTTATAATTTTAACTTCCAACATAGCTTACATACTGACGATTTTGTGACGGGAGTTATGGTACACGTAAACACGTGCACAGATATAAATTATAGAATACCCCTTTATTTAATGTAATCAAGATATAAATGTAATTTATACTCTCCCATCTGGTTAGTTCTTTGTGATGGGATTAACCAAACCAAACACACGCTCATATGTAGATATTCATGTATAAAGAGACAAATAAGATATTAGGTCAGTATGATCTCATTGAGGTAGAGTGGACAGACTGTGGACAACGGTAATAAATGTGCATAAACTGTTCGACTAGTCATCAATAAAAAAAGACATTTGTGCAACATGTATACACCATTGTTCCCTTTATTAGCAATTTAGTCATTTTATCACCCTACCATATCCGAAGTCGTATGTAGGTTAGCGTTTGGTGGTAATGTCACCATGACGTTTGACCTACTGGCCTTCAGTTCAATCTTGGTCTTCTAAATGTCATTACGTACTTCCATTCCACCAAAGACCAGAACTTTCTTTAAGATATGATTAAAGACAAGATTGTAATGGTCAAGGCTGGAGTGACTTTGACAACTAACTTGTTCAGTTTAAAATCATTAGAAGTCATAAACAGGTCATGACAGCCTCCCCTCAGTCTGAGTACTGTTCGCTTAAGCTTTCTCTATTTTTGGTCGAACAATGTTTGATGCGGCACATTGACGGACGGACCTACCAACATATGACTTTTATCTATTTTTATTTTTGGCGTAAAACTTACTTATTCCTATTTCATATTCAACTTTTATTTCTTCTCTTAATAGGTATTAGAAGTGCGCGAGATAAAGAGTAAAAACATAATTTCTATATAAAGACCAACATTGTCCTTTAATTTCTTCTTGAAGCGACCCAATTTTCACAGACAAATTGCAAAAAATTTAAAACATTTACAAAATAAGACACTTTTTTCCGTGTTTTAATAATAATGACGAAATTAAAATTTTTATAAAACAAGTTTAAAAAAAAATTTTAAAAAAAAAAAATATTAGTGTTTCGTACGGAAAGGTGTTCAATTTTTGTTAAAATTTTTTTTTTTTGGGGTATTTTCGGGTATTTTGGGGTACATTTGAAACCACGCTTTTTCCCTTTTTTCCAACGGTACTTTTATACAAAACAATATTCTATCCTCATGCCCCACTTGTGGGTTTTTACTTTTTTTTCTTTTTTTAAAAATTTTGGGAATTGTTTTAAATCAAAATTAGTTTTTTAAAATGAAATTAATTGGGAAAATAAGTAATTTTTTTTGGGCTTTATTTTTGTACCCTTTTTTTTCTTCCATCATTTTCGTACCAAAACTTTATTTTTTTTAGGGGGTTTATTAAAAATTTTTCACAAGATATTTACTTTAATGTTTTGTAAGGAGAATTTTCCTATTACTAGTCAAAACTTTTTACCAACATGTGTCTTTCAACATTGTACTTAATCAATTTTACATAAAAGTCTGTATATTGTTCATGTTTAAGACCCGATTGTTGAATTACGAGGTAGTCAAACACTCCTCCGGAGTTTGCTGGTTAACATGTATTTTTCCCAGATGATTTGTTAGTTATACAGCGTTATTTTGTATCATTTCAGCTTTTTACCATATTCAACGATTTACGGAATAAAGGTTTAAACTTCATGCGTCTTGGTTTTGCCTCGGTAGCATGACAGTAAAAAGACAATACGACTATGTCAACATTTGAAGAAAAAGATGGAGTTCCTCCAGAAGAAGCGATGGATAGAGAAAAGCGCGAAAGAACCCTCACAGAAGCTGGGAAAGAAATATATGAGAATAGAAGAAGTAAACTCACATTTGACTTGGATAAGGCATGGGATAGCGTAGAAAGTTTAATTGTCGACATCCACAAACATATGTGACCATGAAAAATCCCAACATAGAAAAATGCAGAGATTTAGAAACTGATTTGGCAAAATTACTTCCAGAAGTATGAAGTTCAAAATGACTTATATGAGACATTTTTTACGCCAATTCACAGTAATGAATCACTTGAAGAACTGACTGCCACAGAAAAATACCATTCAAGAAGAAAACAGTTGGTGCTTACAGAAACAAAATGTTTACGTGACATACGATTAAACATGCTGGAGAGCAAAGCTGCAAGTAGAGCTGACAAGCTGTCTATAAAGTCACATAACACTATTTTACACAGAGCCAATCTCGAGTACAAAAAGAAGGAAGCAGATATAATGAAAGAAAAAGCAATCGCTCAAGAAGAATTACAAATTGCAAAGGCAAAATGCGAAAGAAAAGAAGCAGAGAAAAATATCCCCAAACATTTTGAAATTTAAAAATAAAAATAAAGATCAGACTCACAAATGTTGAAATGAAATATAATAAAAAGGAAATTTTTTCCCAAAATTATATTGAAAACTCTACATCTTAATCCTAGGTCCAGCCTTTAACCACGATCTTTAAACAGAAGGACATTGATATCCCCACCATTTTATCACAATTTTTAATAAAAAGGATTTACAGCTTTCAATTTCACACAGTTGATAAAAACCAGAAACCTTTGTTTCCCTGGAAGCAGCTTCAAAATGATTGGGGAAACTTTGCCAAAAATGCAGAAGGGGTTTGATTTGCTCATAAGTTTTAGCCCAAATTACAAGTCAGCAAGGGCAAAAGCTCAAATACAAAAAATTTTGAAAAGCAAAGGAAAAAAATAGGGGGTCTTTTGGATGAACAATATGGAAGATCAGAACTTGTCGAAGCAACTCTGAAAAGAAGGTTAGAAGAATTCCCAAGAATTGACTATAAAGACATGTCCAAAACTGGAATTTTATTTTTGAAAAGAAACCCCAAACATACCTTATACGGGCCTACATTCGTTTTGTGAAATTGAATATTGGGTGAAAAGTAACCCAACATACTGTCTTTCTTTACTGGCCTTACTTTGATTCGTCTTCATGGTGTAAATAGAATTTGTTAGGAAACTACCACTTGGTATGCCAAGATTCAAAATTAAAAAGTCACTAATGGAGAAAAAAAATTTTCTGAAAGAAAAAAGAATTTTGTTACAGGTGCTTAGATTCAGTAAACATGTTGCAAGAGACTGCAAAACAGAAGGAGGCTGCGTAAAATGCGGCCAAAGGGTCATGCGTCTTCGGATGCAATAGAAAGGACCCAGAAAGACGACGGCGGGGAGTCCAAGGGAAAGCAAGGTTTGAACTCTAAGTTACTTTCTCTGTTGGAGACAATTCTAGGCAGCACTTGCAGTAAAACTGTGCTAGTAGATGTAATCCGCAGGGTCATTTAGAAAAAACCTGTTACGGGGTATATGCTTATCATCGATGATCAGAGTAACGGAAGATGGGAACCATGGAACTGTTCGACAAATTAAATGTACATACTGAAGCAACTCCATATACATTGTCATCATGCTCTGGCCCGTGTAACTAGGTATGGCCGTAGGACAAATAATATGTGTGTAAGGGCAGTGGATGGTTCTTTGCTTGTACAATTTTACCTATAGTCACAGAATGCGACGAGATATTCCAAAATGAACGTTCAGAGATACCTACACGAGAAGTAGCTGAAGCCTATGATCATCTTAAATGTATTGTAAAAGAAATACCTAAAATAGAAAATGATGAACATTCAGTTTTGATAGGAAGGGACCTTCCAGAGGTACATCTATGTGCTTGAACAAATAACCGGTCAGAAAGGCACCCCATTTGCTCAAAGATTGCCACTTGGATGGGTTATTATAGGAGAAGTTTGTTCAGGACGCTTTACACTTACCAGATACAGTTTCCGTAAAAAAGACTCATGTACTATCCACTGGACAGTCTACATATATGGAACCTTGTCCTTATACACTGAGTTTGAAAGAAAGTTCCAAGTCATTGAATCATGATTTTACTGTGTGGCGAAGATCAAACTT